TCCAGTTGTACTGAAGAGCTGGCTCCTCACCTTGCGCAGTTCGCCGAGATGTTCCTCCGATCGATGGCTAAGGTTGAATTCACGCGAGAGAAGTCGAGTTCATTCTTGGGATTCAATCAAGTCGTCCAGCAGAATCCCAAGGCGATGGAGAGCTGTCTGGGGGAATACTTTCATGCGATTGCGGTGTTTCCAGCCAAGTCGTTAAGCCAGCCTCAGTACGCTGATTTACAGCAATCCTTCCAACAAGTATTTCTCCCATTTTCCCACTAATGGACATTGCAACGCACTAACGAGTGGTGTGTATATAGGTCCTACAAGGCTATAAAAGTTTGATACCTGATTTCAACGCCTTCCTTTCGTCGTTACCGGTCCACGTCACACGAAAACTCCAGTCGACATATCAGTTATAGTGAAGATGAGCTTGGTGAATCTGCTGAGGAAACAAACATATAGCCTTGTATCAGAGGATGCGAATGAAGTTTAGAACTTGGCTTTTTCTTAATATTCAGCACTCGACATCAACATCTCCTTGTCAACTTTCAATCCGTTCTCTTTAAAGAAGAAGACGATTTTCTATTGTCACAGGAGAAGCAAGAACCATGACATGACCTGGAATTGACGATATATATGCATTTATCTCCTTAATTTGGATTGGGCATTGTAGATATCATGATGTGAAACCCGCATGTGGAAAGAAAAAGGAGGTCGAAGGGGTAGAGCTACTCAAATGGCACACATAATTCCTATCCGGTATTCTCTTACAATGGGCGAGAAATGATAGAACTAATTGAGCAAGATGAAGCCATTAACAGAAAATAAGATGGTAACACTGCAAGATAGTCTGAGAGAGCACAGTATACATACGAGTATGGTTGAGTAGGCCTGGCATAGTTATGTAGTTGATTGAATCTGACAGGGTGGCTGAATACAAACGGTAGGCTTGACAGGACCATCCCTTGTCCAGTCCTCCACCCATCTCTAGCTTCCGCTGCACCCAAGTTGACAGCAAGAGGGGAAGCATACTATAAAAGGATCAGAATAAAAGCTAACAAAATGCTAAGCTTCTTTAGGTGGAGCTTTTAGTCCATCCACTGCACTGGCCTGCTTACTTGCAATCTGTTGCATCATTCTGTGCTCTGTACATAGTTATCAACTCTGAATCAGGTTTCCATGCAGTTAACTGATACTGTTGCATGGTCTCAGTCAACTGAGCAGCAAGAAGAATGCATATTCCTTGTCCAGTTCATCCAATGTCAGTTCTCATCTCATCTCATCTCATCTTGTCTCAGTCAATGCCAAGACCCCACTAAAACAAACTGATGAGCATGTGACTGATGATGCTGATTCCAGATTTCCCTCCCCTTCACTTCATCTGTCTTGATGAAGACTGTTGCTCTTCTTCACTTATCATCATCTGTCCCAGTTGGATATCATTCTTATATACTATATAGAAGAAGACTTTGGCAAGTCTCCTACAGTCTGTTACGCAGACATTCTCCATTCAAAAGCATCAAAAGTCAACCCTTCTACAAATATAGAGAAGCTCTCAAGTGTGCAAATGTGTGAATTTTGGAAGGAATCTATCATATACATGGCATAGCCGCGATCTGGCTAAATATATACATATATGCCTATATCATCATACATTGCCTCTCTCATGGTCATATATCAGTGTGTCGATTTCTCAACTATATACTATATACATTATATATAGTATATTAGAACATACAAAGCTAGTTGTGGAGTGCTAGAGAGTTTCTCTGCGTCAGCCTGATGTCGGTGCAGCAGACCACGTTGCCTGCTGAAAATGGCGGAAATGCTGCTCATGGGCGCAGTGGTGAGAGTGCCTTGGGTAAGTAAGCTTTGTTTTTGTTGTAAGAGACATCATGCATCTGCTATATTCTTGGTTTCTGACATCAGTATGTGGGTTGTTTGAGCTTTTGAGATTGTGAAAGTTCGCATTCAGCATTTGACTGCTATAACTTTTGCATACTACAGCCACTCTCTTTTTGGTCCTGGAGTTATGTTTGCCGTGGAATATTTGTTTGCTTCTGCAGAATGCTCACTTTTGGCTAAAGTATCGCCGAGGCGACCATTGTGGGTATATGAGTTTGGGCTTTTTTCTCCCTTTCTTCTGATGGTTTCCGCTGCTTTACAACCTGGCTTTGTGTTTTCACGTTAGAGCAGCATATTCTACTCCTATATTCCAGATTTCTAACTTGTGCATAGCAAATAGCGGTGCCAAGGTATTGCCAGCCCCCAGCAGCCAAATTCCACCAATAGTCTCCACGGTTGTCAATTCCACTTTCGAGAGTCGGCAGGTAAAACAACATCGTGCCGGCGTTGGCGGAAAGAAGGTAATAGCACGGACATTGCATCAAGCTTCCTCTTCACCATCTCTGAACTCCCTTCGCAGTCAAATGGCCGGTTCAAACCTAGACGCCGCCAGCCCAAGTGCTGAAGATGCCAATTCAGGCGCCCGGAGCACCGATGATACTCGACAAGGCCAGCACTCTCTCCTCCTGCAAGTATCAGACTGGCTGCAGAACGAAAAGACAAAGTTGGCTACACAAAGAGAAAAGGCCAGAAGGGAATGCATGCCCATGGAGATCCCGGATTCGACCAAGTCTGGCTCGCCGATTGACGATATGCAGTTGGCTTTGGACCAGCTAGAACGTATACTCGAGCAATACTCAAGCTCTCGGGAGAATATACGTCCTAGAGGTGCGATAACACCAAAACAGCGCTCGCTGGTCAAGGGACTACGGCGAGGTTCTTATTCTGACTCCGATTATACCGATACTGATCAGGCTCCCAGCGCACATGTTACCTTGGATAATTCCAAGACATTACTCTACTCTGGTGGCGAAGCTGATAGCGATATCCATATCCTAGGTGCTGACAAGCCGTCGGCGAAGGACCGCGAAAATTGGCTGAGATTCAAAGCAGAGATCCTCCGTTTGATTCATACATTGAACATCAAAGGCTGGAGAAGAGTTCCTTTAGACGCTGGTGGCGAATTAGAAGTTGTACGTCTTAGTGGAGCTCTGACCAATGCTGTCTACGTCGTTTCTCCACCCAAAAATGTCCCTAATGCTCAAAGATCGGACTCATCGCTGCCTTCTATGCCAAGAAAACCTCCGCCGTAAGTGGCTCTATCTCCCTTGTCTAAACAAAGATTACTAATAGTGAACCAGCAAACTTCTGCTCCGCGTTTATGGACCTCAGGTTGAACACCTTATTGACAGGGAACGTGAGCTTCAAATCCTCCGTCGTTTAGGGAAGAAGAATATCGGACCTCGTGTTTTGGGCACATTTAACAACGGCCGCTTTGAACAGTACTTCAATGCTAAACCGTTAACGTCCCGCGAGTTACGCATTCCTGAAACGTCTAAACAAATCGCAAAGCGTATGAAGGAACTGCACGACGGTATTGATCTACTGCCAGAAGAACGACAAGGCGGACCCAGCTTGTGGAAAAATTGGGATAAATGGGTCAGCCGTTGTGAAAAGGTCATTACATGGCTAGACCAAGAGATATTGTCCAAGCACAATGCTTTAAAGGCGGCTAATGAACCTTGGAGATCACGAGGTTTCGTGTGCTGCGTTCCCTGGGCGACCTTTCGGGCTGCGGTGGACAGGTATCGAAAATGGCTGGAAGAACACTTTGGTGGCGAGAGTGAGATTTCGAAACAACTGGTCTTTGCGCATAATGATGTAAGTCTTGCCTTGCCCCAGGCAACCAATACATCCGGGTGGCTAACTTGCCAGACCCAATATGGCAACCTTCTCCGACTGCAACCTAGTGAAGAGTCACCTTTGTTACTCCCTGCAAATGAACATAAGCAGTTGGTGGTTATTGATTTCGAATATGCATCCGCAAATATGCGTGGCGTTGAGTTTGCAAATCATTTTGTAAGTTCACTTTTACATCACATCAATTTTTGGTCGAATACTAAATTCAGCCAGACCGAGTGGTGCTATAATTATCACGATGCAGAACGGCCGTGGGCGTGCCGTAAAAACTGGTACCCTAATCCAGAAGAACAGGAGCGGTTTATTCGGGCATATCTGAAACATCCATCTCGTCCGGCGATTCAGTCTGCGAACAGCTCCGTCTCGCACTCTCAATCCGCAACCCAAGTCCCAACTCCAGTCGCCCGAGCAACCTACGTCACCAGTCCGCGTATGCCTCCGTTCCTTCTTGACAGTTTCGTTCCCAGCTTGAATCTGCCTCTCGCAGAATCAGATAGCCGCGATCCGATCGTGGAAGCAGAAGTACAGAAGCTTCTCCGTGAAACACGTTTGTGGCGAATAGCCAACTCGGCGCAATGGGTAGCATGGGGAATTGTGCAAGCTCACGTTCCTGGAATGAAGAAGGCGCTCTCCCAAGAGGTCAATAGACTTAATACATCGGCTATTGAAGCTTCCATTCCGGGAGAAGCAACAGCACCCGTAGAACCGCGATCAACTGATAGCACCCCTGAACTTGACCCTGAACTCGACCAAGAACAAGTCAAGCAGGAAGTTGAAGCTGAAGAAGTCGCTGATGAGTTTGATTATCTTGGGTATGCGCAGGATCGAGCGTTGTTCTTTTGGTCGGACTTGCTAGCATTCGGATTCATAAAAGAGGAGGAATTGCCAATAGATCTGATCGAGCATGTTAAGAGGAGGATTATTAATTACTGACTTCAGTCATACTCTGGCTCCTCTGCAGGGCGTGGTTAAGCACCAGCTGGGTCTTAGCTGGATCTCAACTGTTCTGGGCGTCGTTGTGATGATGCTGTTTATGATAACCCCTTAGTTTCTTCCTGTAATTTGCTTTCTCCAAACTGATAATGATCTTCAGTAATATAACTTCTAATGACATGAAGCATCACGATACTTGAAATTAATTATGGACACTAACTATCAATACTAGTACCTTTTCCAGAAGAATGTCGCCATAGTCGCTTCGGGTCATTGTAGCAAAAAGGAAGAAAAGTTTCAAAAACATATTCCGACACCGCTGAGATTCGAACTCAGGCCCCCGAAGGGATCAGCTTTGATATAATTCTAGGCTGACGCGATAACCACTCCGCCACAGTGCCTTTACGTAATTATATAAATTTCATACTAACTACCTCCTATAACTGACCAACTACTTAATCTAGAGATGCAGATGTGAAAAAATTGGATAGGCAGCTCAATCACCTTGAAAGCCAGGACAAAGGATTTCCTCAGAGAAGGCAGAAACAAAAACTCGACACCGCTGAGATTTGAACTCAGGCTCCCGAAGGAATTGATTTTCGAGACCAACGCGTTAACCACTCCGCCACAGTGCCTGATTTGTCAGCCAATCGGCTGGATTTGCAATTTTGGTTATATATCAGTCATAGCTGCATGCGCAACTCAGTTTGTCAACTTCAAAAAGGCTGGCCTTTGGGGGACGCTGACATGATCACCGGTAGCAATCGGCTGGCAAATGAGGCTTCTTGAGTATGATTCTTGAAGAAATTGAATACTTGAAATTCTTCAGTTACAGGTCCCCTTGATTCGGGCAGGATTTTGTTGCCACGGAGATTGCTTGAGTGTAATCTACATACATACTCCGTACTCCAAATCTGTAACATCTGTCACCTTTGTGTCAATTCACTGTCTCAAACTTTGAAATCACATCAAGAAGCTAAACAGGATTACAACCCAGCACTGTAGTTTGAGTATGAATGGCTGGCATTGCTAGCTGGGTTTGCTGTCAACTGTAGAGGCCATTAGCAAAGTCTCCTGGTGTCTGAGATGATGGTTACATACTTTCGAATGTTTTGACCAAAAAAGGCTTCTTTGAATGATCACGCCAGGAAAAAGAGGCTTGGTCTTCTGTCATGTTTGGAATTCCAGTCTATTCCAATTGTCCTGCCATCACTTATAAAAGGTCCCATTCCTTAAACCGCCCATGAGACTCAAGATATAATTCCAGACATCCACGACATGGTTGATTCAAAAGAGCGAATCTTGATCAAGAAATGGCATAGCATGGCAGCTGAACTAACTGAGCGAAGTCATTCTCCTCCCTCTAGCATCAAACACAAATCACTGCCACAAGTGTTTGAATTGGGGCTCATCAAGCTAAGACAAACAATCAAATTTATTAGGAAGCGAGTGCCTGACAAATTCTTCTTCGGAAGGTGCTGACTCCACCTTTCTGGACAACTTTTCTTGGCCAGACCATATAGACGTAGCTTTGCTACCCCAGGCGGTTCCCATCAGCATAGCAGAATGCTATCTGGGAGTATATGTAATTCTTCCTTTGGATCACTTTGCAAGGGTTGATTTTGCATATGCATCATATCATGATGGTCATCACCGGGTATTGTGTGCTACAATGCTTAAGTCCCAGCTATTGCTTGACGCCAGTAGGTAGCAGACTGTCCAGCTGCAATCTCACAGCCATGTTTGCTTGTAATGTAGTCCATGTAGTCCATGTAGTCATCAGTTTGACTTTTATGAAGCGTCACATGGGCGGCATTTTAGAAGAGTGCCAGCTCTTGGCAAGGCAATCACGACCTCTTTTTTGACTTCATCCACAACTACTTAAACTACCACATTCCTCCTCCCTCTCACTTACAACAGTCCAAGTCATTTACTCCTCAGCAAGTCTTCTCTCCCTGTCTTCTACATCAGCACAGCACACCCTGTCTAAATGGCGTACACATTCTCACGCTCTGTGTCTGTGATAACTGAACTGGCACGGGATGCCGCTCGAACTCCTCCCCCAGCAGATAAACCAAATGAGTATATTGATCAGAGCCTCGTGATCTTGGGCCGGACGTTTAATATTCAAAAACAGTGGATACAGCAAGAGTTTCTCACCCAGCGTGAATTTATTGATACCAAGATCACCGAGTCTCAGAAGAAAACGGATGCGCGGTTTGGAGGTATTGAATCCAGGATCACTGTGTTGGAGGAAATAGTGGATGGGGGGTTTGATCAAGTCAATAAGCAGTTTGAACAAGTCAATGGGCGGTTTGAACAAGTCAATGGGCGGTTTGAACAAGTTAATGGGCAGTTTGAACAAGTCAATGCGCGGTTTGAACAAGTCAATGGGCAGTTTGAACAAGTCAATGCGCGGTTTGAACAAGTCAATGGGCAGTTTGAACAAGTCAATGCGCGGTTTGAACAAGTCAATGGGCAGTTTGAACAAGTCAATGAGCGGTTTGAACAAGTCAATGAGCAGTTTGAACGAGTAGATGCGCGGTTTGAACAAATCAATGATGAGATTCGCGCTATAAGAGTCGAACTTGCCAACAGCCAAGCGATCTACAAAAATGGCCGGCTCCATCGACTGCATCAGCCTATCAACCTTATCAAAATGCTTAAGCCTGTCGCCGACTCCGACAAGTTTGTGTGGGTATCTCATCCTCAAGTACCGAAACACATGAAAGGCCTCTTCTATTTGGGTCAGCAAGCAAAGGGCGAATTTCCATCTGACTTCCCTAAAGAACAGAGTATGTTGTTTCTCTATTCAACCCCTTATGACTAACATATGCTAACATCATATTCTAGAAGCACGGGCCAAGCGCGCAGCTCTAGCCACAATCAGAGATCTGGCAAATTTTTATGAAGTTGTGGTCTATTCAGACGATCAAAGTGAAACTGATGCAACCGAGACCGCCCTTCTAGACTTGACCGTGGATGCCTATATGGAGGATTTGTTGGATGTCTGGGGAATGGACTGGCAGAAGGTCCTTAAATTGGGTCAACAGCTTAGGCAGCCTCAAGGGCAGCAAGCAGGGACGAAACGGGCAGCAAGTACAAGTGAGGAAGAATGAATAGAAACGGTTCTACCCGGCAAATATTACACGGAAAAAGCAAACTGTACATGTTGGCAAACCGTGTCTACATAGTAAGAATGTCCTCTGGATGAAGAGTTCTGCCCTGCTGATGAGGCTGTGTGAGTCTTGAGTTTCATAAGGCTTAGTGGAATGTATACTATTCTTCATTCTCTGCATATCCTGTGCTGCTTGTTACCCTTATACGCATTAAGCGCCGATGGTGGGCTTTCTGCAATATGACTCCTGAATGGGTTGGAATGCCGCCAAATCCCTGTCCTGCGCCATGAGACGGGAAGTTTCGCAGATACAAAGCAGACCATCCGGTTTATTTATTTTTCGGGAACAACAAAGAGGGCCTCGGGGCTTGATGATAGTTGGTGGGCGTCCCATTCAATTGGATATTACCGTTTATGCCAGCCGAGGGCGATTCCTATCAGCCGTGGAACCACAACATGATGCGCTTGCAATGTCGGTGAAAGATATTTTCATATTAACCTCTGGTTGGCTCTTGCACACCAGCTCCACAAGCTATCTCTGCTCCCGGTCTGTGGCTTTAGAGGAGGCTGGGGAGTGAGCATTTCTGGCCGCTCTTGAGAGTAAACCTCTATAAAGAGTGCTGCTTAAACGGCACTTGAATTGATATGTTGAACGATTTTAGTCCCATTGATTTTGCTCTCTAGTCGTGCACTTTCTCTCTCCAAACCTTGTGAAAAGATGCTACAGGCTTATGGACCCGTTAGAGAGGCCATGGCTATCAGCACTACTGAAATCTCGGTCTGCAGGCCCGGACCATCACCTCGCTGGTCTATCTGACCCTACCCAAACACGGATAGAGGTAAAGCATGAGGCCTTTGCTGATGGTGGCTATTAGAACCCTCGGGCGTGTTTACTGATAGGGAAGATTGAGGAGCCGCAGAGTTATGTAGAAGCACTGGAACGGCGGGCCGAACGATGCACATATATCATTGCTGGCTTGACGGCTTTTGATAGACCTTGGGACCTTTTCTGAAATGACGAGGCTGGCAGAGTTCGACAGTGCTGCTTCAATGGTTGAAATGGTGCAGCATGTCAACGAAAGATATAGAGCTGCCAAGGAGGCCGTGGAGACATCATGCTGCTGAGAACGCCTGCAAGGACGATGGCTTTGGATTCAGCTCAAGGACAGCTGTTGTGCCCTAACGAACTCCCACCTTTCCTTTCCCGTCGTCGATTATTCTAACTTGACGATTGCCCTCCAGCCGCCACATTGACCGGTATTATTGAATCAACTACGAACCAATACAGCTGATTGATTTCAACATTCAAGGCCATACTTTGTCTGTCATTTGAAGGAAAAAAGGGCAGTTTAGTAACTGCTTCTCTGTCAAATCAACCCCTCTGGCAAGAGAGATGGAAGATAATTCTCTACAACATCCTACGCAATGACATATTTTGCTGCTTAGCGCATTGGACATGGTGATGGGATGGCACATGGGGATCTTTCTTGTCTGTTGACAGTTAACATCCACATAAAATGATCTAGTAAGCTCTACATTCACATTCAAAATACCTAGCTCTTCCAGATTTAATGGCACTCATTGAAAACAGATGACTGATGCTACAATCAGCGACATAAGTTAAAGGCCGAACAACAGTGCAGCAATACATCTTTATGATCCTGGGCCAATATGCAGTGGTTTACAGACGGCCTGATCACAGGCCTGATCACAAACACTGGTTAAGGCTGTGAAGCATGAAGACTTCAAGCCATTAATCATGGACCCTGAAAAGCTCACCGAATGTCAAGAAAGGTTGTATGAGCTTGTAAAAATTATCTATATTTGGACCTGGAATCCCTGGGGACTTTCGAGTTTTGGAGCTCGACTATGGGCATTTCAATAATTTGGATAACAAAAAGATGATGTTGAGCATTCGGATCTCCGGTATGTGCCTCTTACTTACTTCATTTACGCAGCATCTGACCCAACAAATTAGATATTTGTGGCGTCCCAGTAGGCTGATTACTGTTCTGCTTGCTCATATCCACATAAATGGAGAAAAAGCAGCATATGCGGAAAGGCATTTTCAACTTACTGCTTAACCAAAGAGCCGCAATTGGGAATTTCGCGAAAGGGGTAAGAGGAGCGACCAGAAGGTACGCTGGACAATAATACTACTGCTCTCAACACTGCTGAGAATGTTGTACGCATGTTATTGAGTCTCAAAATGGTATAAACGCGTCCACTGCTGAAGTTGATTAGGATCTTTGAATTCTTCTGATGATTCGATTCTCCCATTAAGAGCTATCTCTTGACTTGTCCAGCATGCCTAGAAGGAGTTAATATCGATTCGGATCGTGAAGGCTGGTAAACGTGAAATAGTATCAACAAGGCCAATCTGCTCTCTCTCTGAATACCTGTCTTCTACTATTTACACCAGAGAAGGGGCTACTTTCAATGACACGATTTAGACACTTAAGGGAGCATACACTAAGCCAAATGGATCTCAACAGAATCGGAAACCCATTACAGGTG